CACAAAAAAAAAAAAAAAAAAAAAGAAATTCAATAATCGCCTATTACTACTGTATCATAAAACAAAGGACATTTTTAACATTGTAAAAACAGGACAGAATAAAAGGCTTTATGAAAAACTCACTACATTGTAGTTAATTTTTTCTTGATTTCCTATCTTTCAGAACATGAGGACAGAATGCCAGAGGTAGGAATAGACTCATTCAAGGTCACTCAGCTGTGGTAGGAGTGGCATGAAACCCTTATGTCCTGGCTGCACTTTGCAAGCTCTGCTTCCTGAACCCTAAGAGGTCCACAGAGTAGAAACCAGCAAGGGGCTCTGGAACACCCAACCATGATTTACTGGGAGTGGTTCTGCTTCTATGAGATCTCATTTGAGGAAAGAATTTCACCACTTTAAAAAAAAAAAATTAGAAAGCTCCTAGGGAGTGGGAAGACACAGGGGAACCTATCTCCTAGGATAGCACCAGATCACAGAGGTTATTATATTTCAATTTCAATTTCAATTTTTTTTCCCTAGTGGTATGAAGGAGCTATTTAGGATTTCTGAGCAAGAGAAAGAAGAGGTTGGGGTTGTGTTTAAAGATAATTACTCAGGTGGTAGTATAACAGCTGGATTGGCTGGGCTGGAACAGTGAGAAGTGGAGAGTAGTTATTGAACCATTGTAATGGTGTTGGCATGAGGCAGTGAGGGGGCCCTGCTTAAGGCAGCAGGGATGCGAAGGACAGTACCCCTAAATTCTCTGGGATTATGGCAAGTTAGAGCCAGGTTCTCCAGGCCATATTTCCATATCTGGTTTTTTTCTGGGTGTTTTTTTTCTCTCCAAGCAGATATGGAACATGGGCATAGGGACTCAGGAGGTGGGGGAGAGCCCTCACCTGCAGTGCCAGCTGGCAGTCCTCAATCAGGCCCTGTACCAGGTAGTAGCGTGCTTCGCCTAGCAGTTCCCCCAGTTCTCTCGTACTTTCAGGCAGTGGCACGGACCCGTCCCGCAGGTAGTTGAGGATTGTACCAAAGTGACGGCCGCTCCGGTCAATCAGTACCCAACCTGGTAGGGTGTGGAGAGGCAGGAGGAAAGATGGCTTTGCTGGGGGCCCTGGAGCTACTGGATTTTTACAAAAAAAAAAAAAAAAGGATTCCAAAGCCACAAAAAACTTGAACACTGATCTGTCTCAATCCTCTGCCATATCCAAGAAAATCCCTTTAAAACATCTCTAAAGCCAGGTGCAGTGGTTCACACCTGTAATTCCAGTACTTTGGGAGGCAGAAGACTGCCTGAGCCCACAGGTTTGAGATCAGACTGGGCAACTTGGCGAGACCTCATCTCTACAATAAATAAAAAAATTAGCTGAATGTGGTGGTGCATGCCTGTAGTTCCAGCTACTTGGTAGGCTAAGGCAGAAGGATCGCTTGAGCCCAGCACATCGTGGTTGCAGCGGCCGTGATTGTGTCACTGCACTCCAGCCTGGGCAATAGAGTGAGACTCCAATTCAAAAAAAACAAAACAAAACAAAAAAATAATCTCCAGTGAGTTTTCCCATAGGCTTTTATACATATTCAGTCACAGACAAGTAATTCCCTTCCAAATCTGTCTCTCACCATGAGAAAGTTCTCATAGAATTTACCTTATCAATAAGCCTTAACCCCTGGTGTTAATTCTGACCATCCTATTTATTTGAAGGCTGAGCTCCACCTCCCAAATTTTTATTCTCCTGCTTTCATAATCCTCGAAAACTCCCTCTAGATCCCGCCCCCTCCAAACCACAAACTTTAAAGTCCCATTTGGGCATACAGAACCCAAATCTGAATGCCACACTTCAAGAAGTTAAGGTTCACCTGCCAAGGAGAACTGTCCACCCTCCACTCTGGTGTCCCTGGCAAACCCAAAGCAGCTTTCTCCTTCTACAATCTGCATTTACAGATGGATTCCTAGAGTGTACAGGGACCTGTGTTAGGGGAACACAGAGACAGACAAGATTTCCCAGCTCTCCGGGCTGGCTGTTAGCAGTTCTGAGGCAGAAAGGGGAACAAGAAGCTGGGTAGTTGGAAGAAATTGATGAAGCTTGCCAGGAGGGGTGCTGCGGGCAGCAGAGCTGAATACCAAGTCTTTTGAGCTGAGGGATGAAGGATGGGAAAACTGGTAATGGTAATGAGGATTATGAAGTGATATGTTGAATCACTTACCACAGCTCCTGGCAAAGTTAGGGGTTCCGTAAATGCGGGTTATTGCTAGGAGTAAAGTACCGGGGAAGGAGGGAAATTATGAATGAGAAAGACGAAAAGGGATATGGGGGTTGGATGGAGGTGAGAATGAGTTGACGAGAAGTTGCATGAGACGAGAAGGGGCATGAGGAGCCTGGGCGATGAAAGACCAGAGGGAAAGGGAGTTGGGGGTCTGCAGGATGGAGGACGCACAAATGGGGGCGGCGCACGTACCTCCGGCGTCGGTGAGCACCTCCACGCGGCCGCTGAACATGGCCTTGAGCATGGTATCCTGTCCCGTGAGGGTGCGCAGCGTGGTATAGTGCAGCGAGCCCCCCACGTTCAGCTTCACATACTTGCTGTTTGGGGTCAGCGGCTTGAGACCGCAGGCTGCAAAGCCAGGCTCGAGACCCGAGGGCTTTGGGATTTCCAGGGACGGGGCCGCTGCTGCCGCCGGACCCGAGGCCTCCGCAGACATGCTGGGTGGCGGCGGTGGCCGGCTATCCCAGGTTCTCTCCGTGCCCTCGGGTCTGTTCCCAAAGACCCCCGGACCCCACCCTCGGACCAGACAGCACAGGGCGCACGCCCACTCGCCGCCGCTACTAGGCAACACTAGCCCTCAGCTCCATAGCTCTCACACCACCCGGAAGCCGGCGCGAGGCAACTGCGCAGGCTCATCTCAGCCCCGCCCCCAACCTGGGGCGGGGGCCAGGAGAGCGGAGCATGCGCAGTGGTCTGCTAGGCTTGTGAAGGGGTCACCTGCTGTCTGAGGTTTCTTGTGAGGCAAGAGATGCACACGCTGGGGTCGAGATTAAAGATACGCCCGCCTTTTGCCCGATGTGGAAAACGAAGCCCCTGCCCAGTGGTTGGGCCTCTGCTGTCAGAGCGCTTCGCGGGCGAGAAGGGAAAACCGAGGCCCAGATAAGGTTGGACATTGGGCAAAGTTTCCCGCCTCCCAGCTCCGCTCACAGGTCAGGCTAAGGTGAGCTGGGAACAAAGCAACGAGCTCATCTTAATAAAGGAGGCCAAAGCGGGGTGACCCTCAAAGCGGGTGGCGGTGGTGCTAAGGCGCCAAGGATGAAGGCGGTGATGCTGAGCTGAAGCGGAGAAGAAGCGGCCACATGAAGATGTGAGGGAAGAGAGTTCCGGGCAGATACAAACGTCCTCAGGCAGGAGCATGCTTGCTTGGTGTATTTGATAAGCGGAAAGAACGTCAGGAGTGGCGGAAGCAGCTAAGCAAAGGTCTTAATTTCCCAGCTAATGTCATGAGATCTAGCACACAACCTCGAAAGAAAGAAGAAAAGGGATAGGAACCAGTTGGGCACTGTAATCCCAGCACTTTGGGAGTCCAAGGTGGGAGGATCCCTTGAAGCCAGGCGTTTGAGACCAACCTGGGCAACATAGTGAGACCTCGTCTCTACAAACATAAGGAGCCGGGTCTGGTGGCACGCACCTGTGGCACTGCTACTGGGGCAGCTGAGGTGAGAGGATCCCTTGAGCCCAGGAGTTCAAGGCTGCAGTGAGCTACATTCACCACTGGCACTCCAGCCTGGGTGACAGAGCAAGCCTTTGTCTCTTAAATAAATAAATAATACGGATAGGAACCCATTGTTGACAAGAAAGTTCGGTGAGAAGTGTTTCTATCTTACCCGATTTGCATCCAGTTTAGAGGCTGATGTATCAGAGATTTAACAATCGATCCTAATATCCAGCAGGGAGGTTTGCTGGAGGGAAAACCGAACCCAGAGTCAGAGTCTTAGTTTCAACCCTGCCACAAATTCACTGGGCCATCCTAAACAAGTGACTTCTCTCTGGGCTTGGTTGGTTCTTTTTCTGCTTAGTGAAGGTTGCAAATTTAAATGCCTCCAGGGGATAGGTAGGAGTGTAAATGAGTGAAATGGACTAGTTATAACATATTGGCAAGAAGTGAGCCTGTGGTGACCTGGAAAGCTCATGTCTACCAAAGGGGTTGCCAGCTTTGATTTTTCCTGTGTAGTGGTGAAAAGAGAAAAACAACTTCCTGATAGCTGGGAGGTGGTTTGCACTTTCCCTCCAGAAGCCTCAGTGTTGCTAGGAGCTGGCCTGGCACCAACAGCCAGGTCATGGTGTTGTGTTGTTGAGCAGAAACAGTTTCACAAAACAGCAGCATCAGACAGTCACTCTCTGACTGACGGATCAAGCAAAAGACCCTTCTGTAATCATGTCTCAACAGAAAAATAGCATTGACCAAACCACAAAAATGACCAAGCACAACACCCTCTCCCACAGTATAAGTGACTGCTGCTTCTTACCAAGATAACTTTAGCCCTGATTCATTCCTCCCATCTTCTAGATAAGCATTATTAAGACAACCAAAAAGAGTTATTCCTACTTCCTGACAGCATCCAACCTCACCTAACACAAGCCCAAATTGCGTAAAAAGTTCTTTCTAACATGCAATTGCTGAGATGTCCATGGTTCACCATAGTAACCATAGTTGTCTCTCTTGTTCAACTACAGTGATTCCTTGTAGACTTTGCTGGAGGGCATTTTCAGAAATGGAAGATCCACAGAGATTCAACTGAAGCCCTAATTGCCTTGGACTGGGACCCTTGACTCTAGTAATTGTATGCATACCTGAAACCCTTTGTGTCTCTGACACCCTGCTGATGGCTGGAAGGTAAGTTGTTACTGAACTGAGCTCCCATATTTTGTTAAGATCCTAAAGCATTGGAGGTAAGTTGTCACTGAACTGAGCTCCAATATTTTGTTAAGACCCTAAAGCATTGGGTTTATTTTGTTTTCTTTTTTTTCACCTTTGTAATACAGTTCTCCTGAAATTTTTGGTTATCTGATTAGATTTTTATTTTGTCTTTGGTAAAATTGTTTTCTGTTCCTGTGGTGTATCTGCTTGTGTAATGTCTTGAGTGCTGTTTGTCTATCAGAGGAAAAGTCTACGTGGAAAGGATGAGTGTGCAGCCCTGGAGGTCTAAGGGCATCATAAACCTATTATTGATCAATCTCTGGTGACTGAACACCACTTTTCTCTTTAAGAATTGGGGATGGCAATTCTTCAGACATCCTGCAGCTAGTTAGCATCCCAGAGCCTCATTTGTTGTCAAAATTAACCAGAAAAATGACTCCATCAACCAACAGCCAGTAAGTCTGTCCTACCATCAGCCCCAGAGGCTGTACAATCTAGATGTATTCTTGGACCAGCGTCCTTTGGATAAATCTTATCCCATTTTAAGCCGGGCTCGGTGGCTCGGCCTGTAATTCCATGCTTTGGGAGGCTGAGGTGAGTGGATTGCCTGAGCCCGCGGGTTTGTGAGCTGCCTGGACAACTTGGCAAGGCCTCATCTCTACAATAAATCAAAAAGTTAGCCGTGTGTGGTAGCGCACGCCTGTAGTTCCAGCTACTTGGAAGGCTGAGGCGGAAGGATCACTGGAGCTCAGCAGGTCGAGGCTGCAGTGGCCCGGAGCGTGCCATTGCACTCCAGTCTGGGCGAGGCTGCGGTGGCCTGGAGCGTGCCATTGCACTCCAGTCTGGGTGACAGAGTGAGACTCCAACTCAAAAAACAAACAAACAAACAAACAAACAAACAAGCAAAAAAATCTTAATCCATTAAAAAACGGCAATAAGGACTTCTTCTTCAGCTTTGTGTGTGACCTTGCAAACTGCTTTGCTTCATTTCTTCTGCCCAGAATCAGGAGATTTCCTCTGGCCCCTGATCAGTGATGGCCTTTGGCCAAATTCTGGAGACACAAAGTTGCACATGCACCATCCTTTTGGATCCTTATCTTAACTAAAACTGGGCTAAAAACCTGCTCCCTTCATGTTTTCTCATGATTACACTAACTTGTACCTTATCTTTATAACCGACACAGTTTCACCAGGGACAGTTTGGAATTATAGTAGCCATTTGGTGGAACTTTTCATAATAACAAGATTGTTCATTTGGGGGGTACCTCAGAACAAAAAGGGAAGAAACCCTCATGAGGAGAATATCTTGTCAAAAACAGATTATTTTGTTTAACATAGGCGATATTCCGTTTCCTTACTTTGCATATCAGTAATGCTGGCTTTTAGCCAGATGTGGAGATATGCACCTGTAATTCTAGCTAATCAGAAGGCCAAGGCAGGAGGATTGTTTGAGACCAGGAGCTAGAGACCAGCTCAAGCAACATAGCAAGACCCCATCTCAAATAAATAAAGGCTGGCTTTTAAAATCATACAGCTTGATTAAATTGCAATAAACCTGGGTTATTTTTTAAATCAGCTGTAATATCACTCTTGTGTGTATGCTATGGTTTGAATGCTCATCCCTTCTAAGACTTATGTTGAAATTTAATCCCCACTGAAACAGTATTAAAAGAGTGGGCAATTTGACTATTGAGAGGTGGGACCTTTGGGAGGTAGTTAGTATTAGATGAGTTCATGAGGTGGAGCACTAGTTTCTTTATAAGAGGAGAAAGAGAGGCCTGAGCTCACACACCCAACCTCCTTACCATTTGATGGCCTGTACCACTTTGGGACTCTGCATAGAGTCTCCGCCAGCAAGAAGGCCCTCACCAGATGTGGCCCCTTGACTTTGGACTTCCTAACCTCCAGAACTGTAAGAAATATATATATTTTTTTAGATTGGAGAATACAGTTTATTCAGGAAGTAAATTAGAGAGAGAGAGAGAGAGAGAGGAGATTTACCTCCCCAAGGTAGGGGAGGAGACCACAGCTAAGAAAACATGGCAGTCATAGTTCAAAGAACACATGGCCTGGCCAGTACTTTACAAAACAATGGCCCAGAAATAATTTTTAAAAAATCAATTACCCAGGCTGGGCGTGGTAGCTCAAGCTTGTAATCCCGGCACTTTGGGAAGCCGAGGTGAGGGGATTGCCTGAGCCTGCGAGTTCAAGACCAGCCTGGGCAACTTGGTCCTACAATAAATCAAAAAATTAGCCAGGCGTGGTAGTGTGCACCTGTAGTTCCGGCTACTTGAAAGGCTGAGGCGGGAGGATCGCCAGAGTCCAGTAGTTTGACGCTGGAGTGGCCGTGAGTGTGCCACAGCATTCCAGCCTGGGCAACAGAGTGAGATTCCAATTAAAAAAAAAAAAAGTATGTTGTTTAATTTACACAAATTTGGCCATGCTCCGTGGCTTAGCCTGTAGTCCCCAGCACTTTGGGAGGCTGAGGTGAATGGATTGCTTGAGCCCATGGGTTCGAAACCAGCCCAGGCAATTTGGCGAGACCGCGTCTCTACAATAAATAAAAAATTAGCCATGTGTGGTAGTGCGCACCTTTAATTCTGGCAACTTTGAAGACTGAGGCGGAAGGATCGCTGGAGCACAGCAGGTCAACGCTGGGTGGCCATGAGCGTACTCCTGCACTCCAGCCTGGGCAACAGAGTGAGATTCCAACTCAAATAATAATAATAATAATTTGCACACATTTGTGAATTTTCCAGTTTTACTTCTGTTGTTAATTGCCAACTTCATCCTACTGTAGTTGAAGAAGATGCTTCTTATGGTATCTATCTTTTAAAATCTCCTGAGACTTAATTTGTAGCCTAATATATGATCTATACTGGAATATGTGCCATGTGCACTTGAGAAGAATGTGTATGCTGTTGTTGAGTAGAGTGTTCTATGAATGTCTGTTATAGATATTTGGTTTATTTTGTTGTTTAAGTCCTCT